TGGGGGGGGGGGGGGGTTCCATTCACTAATTATTTCATACCAAATAAGTATGAACTTATTTATTTTAAAACTTTCTCGAAAATCAGATGGTTACGGACTCATTCGTAATATCCACGGAATAGAAGATTCTTCAACTCTGTTCTCTCTAAGACATTCTAGAGAATTTAGATTTACAGAACTACATTAAAAGGCACTTTTTCTTTACACTTCAAGTACTTCGCCAAAAGATAGAAAAACATGCATACTAATAAACATTTTAACTTACCTGTTGAAAGGACTATAGTGTCCTTGGCACGTCCTTCGAGAATAATAACACCTGCAGAATCACGGCTTCGTCCTATAGAATGATGAGGACAAATCCAGCCAACATCACCTGTATTCAGCCAGCCATTTTCGTCTAATGTTTGTTTTGTTGCGAGCGGGTTCTATTTTATCATTTCCAAAAGAAAAGGTAAATAACTTTGATATAGAAGCTACTCAACCTAATTTAGCAGTAGTAGCCCTCATACATATGTATATAATGCTCAACACCATGTAGATCACCTGAGGACCTAACATTATATTTGGTAAAAAACATATTTGGGCAAATCAACATGATATGGTTCAAGTCATCAAGTCACTTGGGACTAACCAGTATATCTATAAATTGAAATAAAATTGAGGATCGCATGGAAGACAACTACAAGATGCATATGTTACATGGTCGATGTTGTTGCTGTTATTTCTGTTATGTTATACAGCAGGTTTGCACAACATTCTTTAAACAATATATATTTTCGGATCACAAGGTGGAAACTGAGCATGAAGGTTGTTAAGTTTATCAAACACACCAGAATGACTGCAAATACTTATCTCGATAGACACCATTTGTAGTTCAAGAAGTAGAGAAGATGGACACCAGTAGTGAAATCAGTAGAATATAATTTTATCAAATTTTTCTGCAGGGTTTTGAAGCAAAGTCTAATGTCATGTTTGGAAAGTGTTCGTAAACAGTTTAGATAATAAATGGATAGAAACGAGTGGTGGACATGTGGGTAGTACTTGTGGGTTCTTGAAATGTATAGATAAAAAGAAGCCTTAGTGTTCATAGAAAAAGAATCCAATGGCAGCGAAATGTTAAGTTTGTGCCTCCAGTTCGCATCTTCCACTTAACAGCAGATCAGATGTAGGTTGATTTGTGCATGAAAACCTAGCTATAGTGTCACAAGTTCAAATAAACGAATCAATGTCTTTAACTTGTCCTAGAAGTATGTTAAACCACCTCATTTAAGAGCTTGAGCCATTAGAGAGGGAAAAAAATTTTAATTTAAGCAAGTCTTCCACGTGTCCCTCACATTCACACTGAATTCATTTTTCATATTCGAAAGCATGCATAATTTTCATAAATGGGTGGACTTAAACTCATGATGTTTGTTAATTTGATACTATGTTGAACCACCTCACCCAAAAACTTAAGCTATTAAAGAGTGACACACATTCATTTGACTTAAACCTAAGACAAAATCTAATTAAATGCATATGAATGATACAATCTTTCATTTCTGCGTTACTAATTGAACTAAAAAACAATATATGGTAGAGAGATTGCAAGATTCATATACTTGAAAAAAATATTGCAGCTTGCCACCAGAAACCATTCACGAAGGAGGCATAGCCATTGAAAAAGAAGGGTAGGGGATTGATGGCCTAGTCTAAATCAGAAATTTGAATTAATACAAGAATAATGACAAATAACGAGAAAAATATTGCTACATTACATTCATGGATCTAAAATATCTAGTTATATAAATTCAAAAGTTATTTGACAAGAAGTAGAGCTTCCAAATGTTACCTCGTAGTAACCCTTCATCACTTGTGGACCCCTAGCTTTAACAATGCCCTTTGAACCATAAGGAAGATCTTTGTTTGTTTCTGCATCTACAACTTTTATTTCTGTATGTTTGAGAGGATGCCCAATTGAGCCAAGAACCTTCAAATGATAAGTTATGACACTGTCAAGTAACATACTATACCAAAAAGAAGATACTGTAGAAATACATTCTGAATATTAAGAGTTGAAACTGACAAGAATTTAGACTGTTCAAAAGAAGTGAATTGATCAGCTAAGACCGATTTCTATGCTTTAGAAATCCACACAAGCCTGGTTGTTTGTCTTCTTTTGAAGAGGAAGAAGATTTAAAAGGAGTTACACAACGACAATATAGATAGTGGCTACGTCAAATTATTAACTTATATTCCATAGTGGGTAATCTGCCAGGGAGCCTTTTTGATAGAACCCTGCAACTCGAGTGACAAATATGGCAAGAAAAGAATAATGGAAATTGGAAGAACTTAGGCAATTAGCTAGAAGAAGAAGAAATTACAAGTTCCAGGGCTATTAGAGAGGCCCGGTCTCTCCCCTCTAACAGAATTCCCAGTGTTCAGATGATCCCAAACAACCCACCACCCTACACATTTATTGGAATTCTCCTAATACATGCTATTACTCATTTACCCCTAACTGAAAACTAGTTGCAACTGAATTATGCTCCTTTCTGCTGACTGTGCATCAATCCTTCTTCCCTCTCCTCGTGTAAGTAAATCGGATTGGGGGCTTATCACTTTTCTCCTGAATATATTCCATTAATTTCTAACCATTTGTTGATTGACATGTAATGACCCAGGGGAAATGAAGTGAATGAAGACCCAGATAGCTAAGGAATTTGAAATCAAACACCTAGGGAAGCTCATGGACTCACCTTGGGAGGAAGTTGCACACTCTACTCAAGGAATAGTAGACCCACAACAGAAATATATTCTGAATCTTCTAAAGGAGACAGGAAATGGTTGAAAACTGACAGGGACTCCAATAGAACCATCTTACAAGCTGAAGGAAAGAAAAAGCACTTGGTGGACAAAGAGGAGGATATAGTGTTAATCCTGGAACCTACATGAATGTCATTTGAGCCAAGTCATTAATAGACCAAAGGTCAACATCAGGGTACTACACTCTCAAGAAGCAATCAGTATTGGTGATGGCAAAGTCCAGCATTCAAATGAAATTCAGGTTTATTAGATTGAATGATGTTACAACTATGTTTGGATTTTCCACCAAAACTCTTTTGGATACGGTATATCATCGTGTACTTGACCCAAGGGATAACGAGAATCGCACGTGGAATACGTGAGTTGCTTTGGATAAGTAACCTTGGAATCAACTTCATTGTGGCAATAAGTTAGCAAACAATTTGCACACAATCTAATCCACCTGGAAGTGAACCAACAGTTTATAAAAGAATAACTTGAGAATGGACTGATATGTAACTCCTTGCATACCTACCAAGGGCCTACTAGCTGATATTACAAAATGGGTTTTCCGCTGGGCCATTCCAAACTCCTAAGCAAGCCAAGGATGAGAAATATCTTCTCCTCAGCATTGGCATGATAGTCGAAAAATCTGCCAACTTGGGTGGTGGATTTCTAAATATTTTTCCAGTTCACAAGTTGGATCTATTGCAAAAGCAGTATATAGAATTTCCTAAGATTCTTCCTTTGTTACAATATTGTTCACTTTTTTCTATTTTTTATTGAAGAATACAAGGCATTACATATTCTGCATAATTTGAATTATGCAATTGATAATGCGGAGATTACTCTCTGATGAAATCACAATAATTTTATAAACGGGTTTAGGAATTATTTATTTCTATAGTTAGAGTAGTTATTAATGGATTGATTGATTATTGTAATCTTTAGATTTGGTAGGCAAATTTTCTTTCCTTTTATTTTTCCCTTCTTTGTATTATAAAAGGGACGATGTATAGCTCATATTATAAAAAGAAGAATATTATCTTTCTCTTCATGGTATCAGAGCACAGACTCGCCCCCTAACCAGCCAAAACAATGACAGAGGCCACCGCCAATAGTAGAGGCTCCACAATCTTTGACTCCTTCAATGGCGAGTCAGAAACTGTCTCTGCCATAGGCTTGGGAGAAAACTCATCATTCCAATTAACGGTTGAAAAATTGAACGGGAAGAATTTTCGAGAATGGGCTCAATCCATCAAGTTAATTATCGATGGAAAAGGAAAATTAGGGTACCTCACTGGGGAGATAACGAAGCCGGCCTCAACCAACACGGTTCTTCTCCAAAAATGGAACTCAGAAAACATTAGTGACTGCTTGGCTGATAAACTCCATGAAACCCACCATCGGAAAGACGTACTTGTTCCTGCCCACTGCAAAAGACGTATGGGATGCAGTCAGAGAGACATATTCTGATTCCGAAAACTCATCCCAGATTTTCGAACTCAAAACCAAACTCCGGCAAACCAAGTAAGGCGACCGAGATGTGACAGAGTACTACCCGGAGATGTCGACTTTATGGCAAGAACTCGACTTGAGCACCGAAGAGGCATGGGATTGCGCAGGCGACAGTGCTCGATTCAAGAAAATGCTGGAAAACGAAAGAGTTTTCGAATTCTTGGCCAGACTAAACCGCGACCTAGATGAAGTGAGGGGACGAATTCTTGGCCGGAAACCCTCAACGTCGACGAGGGAGGTGTTCACGGAGGTCAGGCATGAAGAAAGCCGGAGAAAAATCACGTTGGAGACGATCGGAGGGGCTTCAGGCATGGCTGGCTCGACTTCTGCGATTGAGTCTTCGGCCTTACTGTCAAAAGGGATTGGGTCGTCTATTGGGCTGTCCAACAGTGAGCCGAAAGTCAATGGATTGGGTCTTTTAAAATATGGTCCAGGAAATTCTAATTTTGGGTCAACAAATGGGTTTGAGAATACGGGCTTTTATTCAAAAGGAACAACAAATAGGTCAGACCCAAGACAACAAAAAGGACAACCTTGGTGTGATCATTGCGTAAACCAGGACATAACGAAGACACGTGTTGAGATTTGCATGGAAAACCAGCCAACTGGAAGCCAAGACAAAGTAATAAATACCGTGGAAATCAAGCATCAATTGACCATCAGGGAGGAAAATCCAAGGACTCAAGTGGTGCATTTAATGCCGAGCAGATGGAATAGCTCTACAAAATGTTTTCTAGCCTACAATCATCAAGCCAAATCGATAACCCGTCAAGTTCACTAGCGCACAAAGGTAACTTTTTGAGAGCCTTAAAATCTGTCACTCAATGAAAAACACCCTGGATCATTGACTTAGGAGCCTTGGACCACATGACAGACTCCTACCATTTATTCTCATCTTACTCGCCATGTGCAGGTAATCTCAAGGTTAAAATTGCAGATGGATCTCTCTCCACCATAGTAGGAAAAGGGACTATTCAAATCTCTGACTCTATAACCTTGGAATCTGTTCTTCATGTTCCTAATTTGTCTTGCAATTTACTGTCTATAAGTCAGTTATCAAAATCCTCAAATTGTTCTGCTAAATTTTTTCCATCTTACTGTGTTTTTCAGGACCTATCATCGGGAAAGACGATTGGCAGTGCTAAGGAAAGTGAAGGACTCTATTACTTTGACAAGGCAGATGTGGGTAAACAGTGTCAAATTAAAATTTGTGATTTTGCGTCTGTCCTTAGAAATAGCGAAATTATGTTATCGCATTTTAGAATGGGACACCCCCAACTTTCAATACCTAAAACGTGTACTACCTTCTATTTTTTTGAATAAAAAGACATTTGATCTTCAATGTGAAATTTGTGAACTTGCAAAACATTAGTGTACACCATTTCCAAAATCCGTATACAAACCATCGAAACCATTCTCCATGATTCATAGCGATGTATGGGGTCCCCCACGGATTCCAAATCGTACTTACTCTAAATGGTTTGTTATATTCATTGACGATCATACTCGAATTTGTTGGATTTACCTACTAAAAGATAAATCTGAAGTTCAGGGCGTGTTTGTCAACTTCGTCACTATGATTCAAACGCAGTTCCAAACCCAAATCCAGATCTTACACACTGATAATGGCACAGAGTATTTCAACAACATCTTAGGCGACAGAACACATGGTATAGTCCATCAAAGTTCATGCATTGATATTCCCCAACAAAATGGGATTGCTGAACGAAAAAATAGACATATATTAGAAGTCGCCCGTGCCCTAATGTTCACTACAAACATGCCTAAAATATTCTGGGGGAATGCTGTCCTTACATCCATTTACCTCATCAACCGAATGCCTAGTCGAGCCCTAAATTTCGAAACTCCCATCCAAAAATTTTGGAAAATTTTTCCAACTTCTCGTCTTAGCTCCAATCTATCCCTACGAGTATTTGGAAGTACTGCCTTCGCACATGTCCATCCCCATCAAAGAAACAAACTCGATCCCCGGGCAATTAAATGTGTCCTAATTGGCTACTCTCCTACACAAAAGGATACAAATGCTATGATCCCTCCACACAACGAACATTTGTGAGTCTTGATGTCACTTTTTTCGAAAATAAAATGTACTTTGAAAAAACCTCTCTTCAGGGGGAGATCTTAATAGAAGATCGATTCTTTGATTTCAGTCTCTCCTCTCCTGAACCTTCTCTATTTATCCCTCCATCCAATGCTAATACGCCATTAACAAAGGAAAATTTGAATACAGGGAGAGACGTAGAAAAACAAAAGGATAAGGAAATATTAGTTTACTCACGAAAGTCAAAATCAAAGTACATAGAGAATCTCACGACTGAAGCACCAAGAGAATCAGAACCGATGGTAGTTCCACCTCAGAAAGTATCANTATATGGACTCAAACAGTCACCAAGAGCATGGTTCGATAGATTTGCAAAAGTGTTGAAAAATCAAGGATATCACCAAGGACAATTAGATCACACTATGTTCCTGCGGCAGTCTGTAGATGGTACTAAAACTATTCTGATTGTATACGTTGATGATATCATTCTGACAGGAGACAACAGAACAGAAATGGAAAGACTAAAAACAAGTCTTGCCACTGAATTTGAAGTAAAGGACTTGGGATCAATGCGATATTTTCTGGGAATGGAAGTTGCTAGATCAAGACGAGGGATCATTGTATCACAAAATATGTTCTCGATCTTCTAACTGAAACTGGCATGCTAGGATGTAAACCAAACAATACACCCATAGATATTGGAATAAAAAATGGCAACGAAGGAAATCCTATAGAAATAGACAAATATCAAAGATTGGTTGGAAAACTAATTTACCTATCACACACCAGGCCCGACATAGCATTTGCGGTAAGTTTGGTAAGTCAGCACATGCACTCTCCAAAGGAAAGTCACTTAGAAGCTGTCTATAAGATATTCAGATATCTCAAGGGTTCCTCAGGAAGGGGGCTATTCTTCAAAAAGGATGAAAGAAAAGGAGTGGAAGTCTTCACAAATGCAGATTGGGCCGGATCAACAAATGATAGGAGATCTACTACAGGTTACTGTACATTTGTATGGGGAAATCTAGTAACCTGGAGGAGCAAGAAACAAAACGTAGTTGCCAGAAGTAGTGCCGAAACTGAATTTAGAGCAGTTGCGCAAGGAATATGTGAAGGACTATGGTTAAAGAAGCTACCTAGAAGAACTATATGTCACAATAAAGCCACCAATCAAACTTTATTGTGACAACAAAGCAGCTATCAACATCTCTCTTAATCCAGTTCAACATGATCGAACAAAACACGTAGAGGTAGACAGACACTTCATAAAGGAAAAAGTTGAGGAAGGAACCATTTGCATGACTTATGTTCCTACGCAAGAACAAACTGCAGATATCTTCATCAAGGGACTATCAAGATAGAAATTTGATGATTTCATTTTCAAGTTGGATATGATAAATATTTATGATCCAACTTTAGTGGGAGTGATGAAATCACAATAATTTTAGAAACGGGTTTAGGAATTATTTATTTCCATAGTTAGAGTAGTTATTAATGGATTGATTGATTATTGTAATCTTTAGATTTGGTAGGCAATTTTTCTTTCCTTTTATTTTTCCTTTCTTTGTATTATAAAAGGGACGATGTATAGCTCATATTATAAAAAGAAGAATATTATCTTTCTCTTCACTCTCATAGATGGTTCTAGATCTGAAATAAACAAACAAATATCTACTTTGAAGTTTCAACGGCAGAAATAATCAATTCTTGTATCCCCAAAAACAAAAGTTGATTTGGCTTGCACAAAGTTGCTTGTAACTTTCCTAGAGACAACTTATTAGACTGGCTTAGCTCTTGATAGCAGTTCTATTCATTCAAATATTCACACTGATTTTTCTAGGAAATTTTGAGAAAAATTTATAGACATCTAAATTAAAAATAGTTCAAACCAAATATGCATTGGCCTCGTAAATACTTCAAATTGCCTTTTGAAATGTGACCTTGCAGCATTAACAATGTCAATTTTGCTATGCCGATAACGAGGTATTGTATTGGTGAGTCCATTTTAACTATATCAGCTGATATTTTAGCCAGCGGCACAACGCTACATGATTATATAGGATGGTAACACGTTCCGACCCAATTATTTTCCACATTGCCCATGGATGTTTAAACTATGTCAACGAGACTGTTGAAGTATTTCAGATACCTTTTATATTCTTCTTTGAATAGAAATTTCATTGCCCTAATGGAACAAATACTAGAAATTCATTGATTCTGAACTCATTATTAGAAGGGAAAAGATGCAGCAGTTCATTGATTTTAAATGCATCATATATGATTAATTGATTATTACATTACAATTTGGTCGTCGAGCAGCAACCACAGGTGATGATTCTGTTAGACCATATCCATTCTGAACTTTTATTTCAATAGCCTGCAGTATCAGATCAACAGTAAGATGAAGAATCATACCCTTTTCCTGCCATAGCTAACAAAGAATGAAGAAGCTCCTACCTCAAAGAACTTGTCCACATGGGATGGCAAGCTACCACCTCCACTTATGCCAGCCTGCAAAATTATCGAAGGAATTTTTTTAGTCATTTGTGTCTAATAACGGTAAGAACTTTCAAAAATGAATTGGAAAATGGCACATGCATAGAAGTATGATACAGAAATGCCAAACCTTTGAAATACCAATAGCAGAATGAATTTTACTGTAGACAATTTTCTTTGCCAACATATGCAATGGGTACAATATTGCGGCAGCAATCCTTGCCCACAACCAGTCAAAAACAGAAACAAGGAAGAAAGGCTGTTCTGGATTTTTTGTAAGACATTTCCCCTAGAAAAAAGAACAAGCTTATTAATTAAGTGTAAAACATAAGAATGAGAATGAGTTTTAGAAAAACAGTTAATTAAAATTAATTATGAGATCTTGATCATCTCAAAGAGTGCAAGGTCTCAAAATGGTATTGCATGGAGATATCTTGGGAGATGACTTCAGGTCAAATCCAACTTACGTTTTTAATCGTAATGATCTATTTTTACATTTTGAATGCCCAAGTGACATGTTCCTAAGTTGGTTCCTTCTCTTCTTTTCTTCTTTTCCCCTTTTCACAGTTCTACTTTAGGTCACGACTAAACGGTCCAAACCCCTTGGGTCCACTGTAGCCGCTCCCTTTGTCTCTCTCCTTGTCTTCCTCATTCTCACATTAACTCCATGATAGTACCATTGAACTTACAATCTCTATTGGCTTCCAACAATTCACTGGTGTCCACCAGTATATATTATTTTGATTGCCTGCTGTGCAATTCAGGTTTTTACCAGCATGCATTAGTATCTTGTATAGCAACTTAGATGGTGCTACCCTGAGTGATTTCCTTGAATGACTAATTACCCTCAGCTATTTTCAGATTAACAACCCAGCATTTGCAAAGAACATTTGCAAAAACTCAGCAAATCACCTTTGAGTAGTTCACATATACTGGAGACCACTTCGCTCATTTGGAGGAAAATAAATGTCGTTTTATACTTTTTATTTTTATTTTTTTGAACTAAAGTACTATTTTAATATAAAACACATAGGTTGGTGCTTTGTTTTTACACACTTCAACCTCATGTAAACTCCTCAAAAAACTTATCCCATATGTATTATGGAATTAGGTGCACGCATCTTGTTTTTCTCATTCCACTGTATCAAGGATGACCCATGTCTTAATGTCCGAATTACCTCACCCTGAGTTTATTGGTCAATCTCTCTTAACTTTACCCATTACACTAGTCACATTACTTTTTAAACCAGTGAATCTAGTGGTTTTAATAGATGATTTTAAAGGAATGAAGGGATCATGGATTTGTAAATCTCATGCTAACAGAGAGATCGTACACTAGCTTTCACTGTTATTCTGAGTCAATATGATGAAGTCTGCTCTAGTATTAAGCCATTAAAGTTAAACAGGTGGTCTCATGAAGTAGTAAACCTACCATATAAAAAAGGAGAATTTTTTTTAAAAGTTGCAAGTGAATGTGTGAATACTATAAAATGTGGTGCAGCACCAAAGTTAGGAAGACCAAAGCGTAAAATAGATGTCCACAAGAATCTCTTAGCAATGTCACCTGGTTAGAAGGCGTTAGGCACCATTAATTTTAGAATAGTTCGTTAATCCCCTCTTTTTCAGAAAAGAAAAATTTAATCATATTTCAAAAGCTCAGATAATAGCCTTAAATGAGGGTTTATCAGAAGGGTTTTCATATACTACAAGTAAGTAATTCCTCCTATTTGAAACAACATGGGTTCTTTTAGATTTATGAAAAAGAGGAGGGCAATCAAGCTATGTTAGAAACAGAAAAGGGTAATCTTGCTGAAATTCGGTATCTGTATCTCATAGGTGCCAAGACTTGTACCAATCAAAATTTCAAAAACCAGCTCCGATATCATCTTAGATCATATCCTTGTCTAATGTTTAAGCCAAAAGAAGATAGAATGTAAACTTTATGATAAAAACAGTGGGATTTCAAGATATTTGGCTGCGATTTAATTAGAGAAAGAGACTGTCAAAATACACGAATCTTCAATAAACACACATAAAGCAAAGAAAAATTAATATTCTATCAAAACAGCATATTATCTCATCAAGGGACAAGAGTTCGTATGCCCACAAAAAACTTAAAAAGACCATTCACTAAAAGTTATGCCATCAAAAAATACAGAATTATGCCATCAGAGATAATTATCTTCAGCAAAAAAGACAGTGGTCAATACAATGGGATACATCTTATAATACAAAAGAGAAACAACATGCATACAATTATCAGTATAGTGATCTTTAATTATAATGTTCTGAGCAGATAAACAGTTAAAACAAATTCTGGAAAAATAAAGAATATGATTAGGATTCAACCTCATAAATTCGTTTAGACTCCATATATGCTAAACTGATCCTCAAGAATAGAAGAGAAACAAGTTTACGTACAGCAGAACTCATACTAAGTTGCTTCTGAATCCCTCTGCAAACTAAAACAGTGTTAATGATATATAAACAGTAATGGAATTAATCAAGTTGAAAAGGTATAACTATGAAACATGGGATCTAAAAATGGCTTCACTGTGCAAAATAACATAAAACACATTTAGCACCGAAAGAAAGTAGTGTAAACCATAGACGTGAATATCTCTACAAAGCATATTATAGACCTTCATAATTGGAATGACACAAATAAAAATAAAAAGTAACAAAAACTCAAACCAAAAGAAATAAATATCAGGTGAATGCATAAAGAACAATGTCACTCTTACATCTTTTTGGAGGTAAACTTCCTGTTCTATCGTTCCTCTTCTTATTATAATAACCCTCTTTCACAACTTGCAACAATGTGCTGAAAAATTATTGCTTGTCCCAAGATATGCATGGGACATTCATATAATTAATGACTTGCAGTGCATGATGAAAGTAAATACTTACAGGCAGTCAGATTTACCTGTAAAGCGTCTCATACACTAATGGAACAGAAATCAGATAATGAGGTTGATAACATTGCAAATCTTCCTACAATTGAAGAAATAAACTGATCAACTCTTCACCTTCACAATCAAACAACAATTAATTCATTTTTGCACGAACTTTTTTCTTTTGGTGAGGTCATGACCACAAAATTAAAAGGATAGAAGTAAAGCAACTCCTAATAGGAAGGGAAATAACATACCTTCAGATTTTTTATTGTTGTGTATACTTGCTCAATTCCATGGGTAAATATGAAATACTCACAAGCTCGTTCATATGCATGCCAAGGTGGAAGCAAGCTTAGAAATCTGTCCCCAGGCATGGCAGGTACAATGTCCCACATATTTTTAATCTAGATAGAAGCATATACATGGTCAGACAAGGTCCTTAAGAAGGATACATCATACAAACGACTAAATAACATAAGCATTAGATTTTTCCCCGCAGGGGGGTACGTCTGAGTCCATATGGTCATTATCAAGAAATCACACGTATAGCAAAAGTTCTTCTCAGCAAAGAAATACATGCTCCTCTCTTTCATGCAAGAGGAAAATAAAAAAATACCTTTCAACAGATGGAGAACACTACATTAAAAGATCCAAATGAAGTGGAAATTTCAACAGGCATAGCTAACTTCATTCTCTTATAGTCCTACCAGATCCCCCAACTCCATTTCACAAAATAATAATAATAATAATAATAATAATAATAATAATAATAATAATAAATAAATAAATAAAAAAGGAAGAAGAAGAAGAAATCTTTGGCATAGTCTATTAGAGATAATAGAATAGAATAAACATTCAACCTGGTGAAGTAGATTCTCGTGTGTGAGCATAACACCTTTGGGATTCCCAGTGGTACCACTTGTATATACAAGCGTAGCAACATCATCAGAGCAGATAGTTTCACAAATATATTGCTTCCCTGAAATTAATGTCACTAGTCAGCAATGTCTTCCCCTTGCATCCTTCCAGATACATAACAACAGATGATACAACAGATGATAAATAAAATGTTCATCGTTACTAAGTTAACCATAAATAAATTGCTTCCCTGAAATTAATGTCACTAGTCTGCAATGTCATCCCTTGCATCCTTCCAGATGCATAGCAAAAGATGATAAATAAATTGTTCGTCATTACTAAGTTAACTTTTATATCAATATTATCATTTAGTAAACACTAATGGAAATCTTATTTGTGCCCAGTATGTGCAAATACCATGTGATCAACCTCATTACAACATCAAATGGAACTAAACTAGAAATTGTTCAAAAAAAAAAAGCTTGCAACTATAATACCAGTATTACAAGTTTCAAAGCTTTAATTTGACAACAAATAATTGAAGAAAAAGAAAAGAAAGGGCATTCATGAAGAGAAGAATTGAGGGCAAAGAAGAAAATCAATTTATTATATATTTAAAGGTGTGTATTACAATGAATAAGCTCTCTGATTATAGAACAAATAATATAAAATCAATAAAACTTCTAATAAACTAGAATTTTATCAACATATTAAACTTAACCTAATCTTATTTAAACACTAAATTAAAATTATATTTAAACTTTATCTCTATTAGAATCATTTCTCCTCAACTGAGATAACTTGACTTGGAGAGGTAGACTAGAGCTTCATACTTCAAGGAGGCCGATCTTTTGTATTGTATTGATCAAGTGTCAGATGTAACATACTGAATTTTTAGTTCTAGTTGAATTTAAATTTAGGACTTAAGTTCACTGTTATTAAAGTTTAATGACCTTATTAGTTATTGGACAATAGTTTCAGGACCTAAGTGTAGAATTATTTCGGAAGTTAGATAATGAAAAGATAAGGACAACCTACACTAATAGAAAATTCTTTACTACTACCGATACCACATTTTAAACTTCAGACTGCTCATTATACACATCTTAAAAAACGTTGATATATGTAACATAAATTTCTTGCCTCTAGAACCCACCATATCACTTTATTGAGCACCCTATTGGCTTTTCTAAAAGGATACATACATAAATCATGTTTCTTTTGTCCAAACTTTCTCATCAATATTCCGAAAGGTAAATAGCTTCAATAATACTCTTACATAATGCTGATCTATTTCCCTAAAACCATAATACATTTGAAATAAACCTCAATCTCTTAATCATCCTCTACCACAATTTTCGAAGAGTAATACCTGATTCACTCAACCTTGAATATTTCCTTTACTTTTGTAATAAGGCACCATAATACTCTTATTTCATTCGTCTCGCATTGTTTTAAAATTTAACATCTACTGGAATAATTTGTCAACAATAACAAACCAACCTTACTAAAACACTAGAACACTTAGCTTTGAACTCCATAGGATGAATTATTTTTATTATTTTCATCATCTTCTCTCCCTCACCTCCAAGAGCCGAACTCTTCAAAAAGTTGATCATGACATAATAAATGTTAAACAAAGTAGATATGAGCCCTAAAATAAACAAAAAGAAAAGAAAAACAACCCAGGAATTTCTTTATGTAAGTTAATGAAATATTTCATAATCTAGTATTAACAACTGTCAATTTGCTTAATGTCTTTTTCGTAAGTATTGATTTCAATTTATAGAGTATTACATGTTATATAAGGAAAATAATTACAATTGGAATCAATCCCAGGTTCTTCCCAAATTCTATGCGATTTGACTTACCTATATAAGGAAAGAATTGGTTAATAGATATCTGATAACAACGTATTATAATTAATATTTAATCTACCCAGTCCTACACCTTCTGGCACTAAAACTTGGTGGGATTCAACTAACACCTTGCATGTCAAAGAAAGCATGTAAGATTTCATGGAAAGGCATAGCTTGACTAAATAAAAAATTGAGTTACCACTCTTAAAATGATTGATTGTTATTCTGTTAAAATCAAGTGCGATTAAATATAGATCTATCACTTATCAACCGTACTGAACAATTACTGCAGAGCAACTTACTGGCATCTTCAGAATGAAGCAAAGCCATATGACTCTCTTGACCCATACTTGTTATCTCATTATAGCCATAAATAGGAATTTCTGCTGTTGCTACATCTTTTATGCTTGATTTTTCTCCCCACAGTAAAATGACAAATCTTATAGTAGCTCGGGCATGAAAGGTTTCTGAAATCTTGTTGTACAAAACAGGATCATCCACAACCAGTGCCACACTACAATTATAGCAGTAATACATCAAGAAACAATGGATGCTAGAGCAAAAACAATGGACATCATTTTTCTCATAGATTCACCACCTTCCAATATAAGCAACCCAAAAGGGTGAAAATATTCTTCTACGGTAACAATGATGAATCATTGCCTAAGACATTGCATGAATCAAATAAGATGTTTCCCCCACAGAGAGGTGGGAAGCATTGAAGTCTCGCATCATATAATAAAATCATTTTGCATTTATATCCTGTATTGTCCAGAAGCATATACCAAACCATTTCAAAAAGTGACACCATATTGCTGCATATCTAGTCATAGTATATACATTTTAAAGAAGATTAGTTAAGCATACCACTCCATTACTATTGCAATTGTTCTTATTACTAATGCAAAATAGAAGTGGTTAAATTAAGTTGACATAGTGCCACAAAAAACAATTTGTTGAATTTGCCAGATATCGATTTCAAAAAGCTTATTCTCAATTGCGAAGTTTAAAAAGGTCAGATTTTATGAGATATATATTAGAATTTTGACCACACTAATTCAACTTTTTCCGTATATAAATTGCATAGATTTGGTAGTTGCCATAGAATTAGGATTTTATTTTATTGTACAGCAAAACTTTCCTAAATTCCTTTACTGTAACACACTATAAATTATATCAGTACATGTCGGGAAAGATCATTCAGCACAACTGACATGGTATTAGAGCCCCGAAATTTTCCTTGAGCATTTTTTTTCGTGGTTTCCTGCGCCATTGGCAGTCGCTTCTTGTGGTTTCGGTGCAGTGGGTGTGGAGTCAAATTTGTCGATTTCTGCGGTCGATTCTTGGTCGGTGTCAACCATCTCTAATGCAATCTAAAGGGTCTCTTCGTGTTTGCAGCATAGTTGTTCAGTCTCGATCTCGATCGAAGCTAAGTTACGTTTGCAATCTCAGTTTCCTCTGGGTTCTTCGATTTTCGGCAAGAAATCGAGGTTAGTTTGCAAATCATGGGTTCTTCATCTGCAGATCGTGAGTTCTTCGTTAAGGTAGGAGTTTATCTGTGATTGGGTTCGGGAGTCAAATGTTTCTTTGGCCACTAAAATTTATATCATGTTGCGATTTACTCACAATATTTCATTCATTGTCCTAGTGACCATTGAACTTTGCTCCATCCATCTCCACGGAGTCAAATTTGTCGATTTCTGCGGTCGATTCTTGGTCGGTGTCAACCATCTCTAATGCAATCTAAAGGGTCTCTTCGTGTTTACAGCATAGTTGTTCAGTCTCGATCTCGATCGAAGCTAAGTTAGGTTTGCAATCTCAGTTTCCTCTGGGTTCTTCGATTTTCGGCAAGAAATCGAGGTTAGTTTGCAAATCATGGGTTCTTCATCTGCAGATCGTGAGTTCTTCGTTAAGGTAGGAGTTTATCTGTGATTGGGTTCGGGAGTCAAATGTTTCTTTGGCCACTAAAATTTATATCATGTTACGATTTACTCACAAAATTTCATTCATTGTACCATTGAACTTTGCTCCATCCATCTCCATCACTCACCCAATGCCAAACATAAATAAATGTGTTGACGTAAACCACGGGAAATCCAGCTGGCCGGTTAAATCCTTTCATGTGTTGAGTTAAGTGCCAATGCATCTTCCACGTCAGCGAAGTCGCTCCAATGCGTTTAACCTTGCATGACTTTACCTTCATCATATACAAGACTTAACAGGTCTCCAATTCATCCCAATCGTGCAAATCAGATTTATCTTCCCAAATCACAAAGAACCCTATGCATCTTCCTCAAATCATTTGATCCCCACCGTCACCTTAAGAACCCTATACATCTTCTCCAAATCATTTGATCCCCAATGGACACTCTTGGATTTTTCTTATACTTAGAGTTAGTACACCACATCTATTCCTTTACAAGAATACTGCTGAGATTGTTCTCTTGTTAGTATATGTGGATGATGATATTATCTTCGAATCTGATTACACTCTTATTCAGAAGTTTCAGCAACATCTCCACTCGGTTTTTCATATGAAAGACTTCAGTTATCTCACTTACTTTCTTGGCTTGGAGGTTCATTTAGCACCACATGGTATCTTCCTAAATCAACATAAATACATTTAAGATTTAATTAGGTTGGCTAATTTATCTGAAGCCTTCTTGGTTGATATTTCGTTGGAGCTTAATGTTAAGTATCGAAAAGACGGGGGTGATATTCTACCAGAGCCTACTTTATATCGGAAGTTGGTGGGCAGCTTCATTTACTTCGCTACCACATGTCCGGATATTTCCTTTGCCGTTCATAGTGTCAGTAAATTTATGGACACACCTTGTCATCTCCATCCAGTAGTTGTCCGCCGCATTATTCGATACCTCATCAGCATTCCTCATCGTGGTCTATTTTTCCCTAGGGGATGTCCATTAAGCTCACCACTTATTGTGATGCTGACTAGGCTAGCTGTCCTGATTCTTGTTGATCTACTACTAGGTATTGTATTGTGAATTCAGAGAAATTCTTTATTCTCTTTTTATTGAATAATTAAATTCTAACTACATCCTTTTATAGTATACAAATAAAGGTTAAACAAGGAAAGATAATATTCCTAAATCAATCCAAAAATCGCCTAAAATTTTCCTAATTACAAGAATTATAATTTTCCTAAATTGACACCGCTAATAAGGAAAGTTGGAATATTCCGCATAATCGGGATTTCAACACTCCCCCTCAAGTAGGATTGTAGATATTGATCATATCCAATTTGTAAATGAAATCATCGAATTTTGGTTATGGTAATCCTTTGGTGAAGATGCCTACGATTTGTTCCTGTCATGCAAATAGTCCCCTCTTCCACTTTTTCTTTGATGAAGTGTCTGTCCACCTTTACGTGTTTCATCCGATCATGTTGCACCGGGTTGAGAGAGATGATGATAATAGCTTTATTATCACAATACAGTTTAATTGGAAACTTCATTGCAACATGTAGTTCTTCTAGGAGTTTCTTCAACCATAATCCTTCACGTATTCCTTATGCTACTGTTCTAAACTCTGCTTCAGCACTACTTCTGACAACTACATTTTACTTCTTGCTTCTCCATGTACAAAAGTACAATATCCAGTGGTTGATCTTCTATCTTCTGTGGAACCTACCCAAACTGCATCTGTGAAAACTTTCACATCTTTCCTTTCATCCTTTTTGAAGAATAATCCTCTTCCCGGTGAACATTTGAGATATCTGAGTATTTTATAGACAACTTCTAGGTAGACTTCTTTCGGACAGTGCATATGTTGGCTTACCATGCTAACTGCAAAAACAATGTCAGGTCTAGTGTGTGACAAGTAGATTAATTTACCTACTAGTTGTTGATATCTGTCTGTGTCTACTGCCTTGTCGGTATTCTCAATTTTAGTCCCCACATCAATCGATGTATCACTGGATTTACATCCAAGCATTCCTATTTCAGTTGAGAGGTCAATAACATATTTTCTCTATGATACGCTGATCGTCCCTTTTGACCTAGCTACTTCCATTCCTAAGAATTATCGCATTTGTCCCAGATCTTTTACTTCGAATTCAATGGCTAGATTCTCCTTAAGCTTCTCTATTTCAACTGTTTTGTCTCCTGTCAAGATTATGTCATCAACATATTCAGTTAAGATTATCTTAATTCCATCGCCGAACTGTTGGATGAACAGTGTGATCTAACTGTTCGTGTTGGTATCCTAGCCTTTTTAGCACTTTTGCAAATCTGTTAAACCATGCTCTAGGTGACTGCTTTAATCCATACAAAGACTTCTTGAGCTTGCATACTCGATTCCTTTTGTTTACTTTGCAAAAACCTAGTTTTATAGTCATGTATACTCTTTCTTTCAATTCTCCATTTAGAAAAGCATTCTTATTGTCCAGTTGTTGGAGGGGCCAATTCAAGTTTGCTGCTAATGATAGGAGTACCCGCATTGTATTTAATTTTGCCATAGGCGCAAATGTTTCTGTGTAGTCAATGCCATAGGTCTGGGAGTATCCCTTCGCAACCAGGTGTGCTTTATACCGTTCTACTATCCCGTCTGATTTATATTTTAAATTGAAGACCCATTTGCATCCAACTGATTTTTTTCCTTTTGGTAGATCCATTACTTCCCAAGTTTCATTGTTTCTAATGCTTGCATTTCCTCCATAACTGCTTCTTTCCATTTTGAAATTTCCAAAGCTTCATGTATATCCCATGGAATTTTGGTACTGTCAAGATGAAAGGTAAAACTACGAAATCCTGTAGATAGAGCATTATATGACATGAACTTTGAGATAGGGTGAAGAGTACATGATCAAGTTTGTTTCGAGTGTGATGGGTTGATTAATATCTATTGATTTTGGCACATCTCTGGTGTCAAGAGGCTCTGGAACTATCATTGGTTTCGACTCTTTTTGTGTTTTAGGTGTAAGGTACTCTTGATGTCTTGTTTTCGGTTTCCTTGAATAAATAAGTATTTCCTTGCCTCTTTGTTTTTCTGCATCTCCTCCCTGGATTCAAGTTTCCTCCTGTAAATAGCACAGATGAACTCATAAATGGCATGGACTCTAAAGGGTGGAGGTCTAAGTTTAGGTACCGATCTTTCCTCAAATTCTACCTCAGAAGAGAGGTTTTGCTGAAGTATAGAATATTTTCAAAGAACTTGACATCAAAACTGACAATAACTCTTTGTGTAGAGGGATCATAACATTTGTACCCCTTTTGAGTAGATAAGTATTCGAGAAGGACACATTTAATAGCCCGAGGTTCCAGTTTATTTCTATGATCGGTATGAATATGGACAAATGCGGTACACTTAAATATCTTGAGAGGTAGGTTTGAGTTGAGTCAAGAGGTCAGAAAGAACGTTTGAAATCTTTGGAGAGGTGATTCGAAGTTTAAAGTACGGCTAGGCGTTTGATTGATTAGATAGGTGGATGTTAAGATAGCATCGCCCCAAATACGTTTTGGCTTATTGGAAGTAACATTAAAGCTCTAGCAACTTTTAAGAGATGTCTATTTTTTCGTTCGGCAACCCCATTTTCTTGAGGGGTTTCAACACACGAGCTTTGGTATCCCATGAGTTTGGAGAAAATCCCCCAAATTTTTGTTGAAATATTCAGTGCCATTATCTGTGCGAAGGATTTGTATGTGCATTTGGAATTGAGTTTGTATCATTTAATGGAAATTGATAAATACATCAAATTTTTCTTTCAATAAATACACCCAAAAAATTCGAGTGTTTTGTATGATTTCGATTAGGAATGCATGAGGGACCGCAAACGTCACTATGAATCATAGTAAATGATTTTGAAGGTTTATATGTGGATTTTGGGAATGGGGCACATTTATGTTTAGCAAGTTCACAAAATTCACATTAAAAGTTGACTAATTTTTTATTCTGAAAAATAGTAGGGAATGCATGTTTCAAATATTGAAAGTTAGAATGTCACAATCTAAAATGCTATAGCAAGATTTCACTATCACTAAGAATAGATGCAGAATCACAAACTGCAGTTCGATATTGCTTACTCATATCAACCTCGTCCAAGTAGTAGAGCCCCTCACATTCCTTAGCACTGCCAATCGTCTTCCCTGATGATAGGTCCCGAAAAACAATGTGAAGGATGAGGTTTTCGCGAGTTAGCTTATAGATAGCAAATTACAGGGTAAATTAGGGACATGAGGGACAGATTTTAAAGTTATAGAGTCAGATATTCAAATACTCCATTTTCTTGCGATAGGTGAGAGTAACCCGTCAGCAATCTAAACTTTGAAGTCACCTCTACAAGTTGTATATGACGAAAATAGGTTGAAGGAGCCCGTCATGTGATCAAAGGCTCCTGAGTCAATTATCCAAGGATTTTTAAGTTCGGAGGTAGCACTTAAGACTTGTAGGAAATTACCTCTATGAGCTAGTGAGCTCGAAGAGCCAATTTGGGAAGACTGATCGGATTGTTGAAGACTCGAGAAAATTTTGTAGAGTTGCTCTATCTGTGTAGGATTGAAAGTACCGCCCGAGTTGGTAGTTTGATGGTCCATTGTCCATTGAAGTTTGATAACCTCAATTTCTATTATTCTGCCTTGGTTTCCAATCTGTTGGTTTTCTATGTAAATCCCAACAAGTATCTTTCTTGTGTCCCGATTTACGACAATGTTCGCACCACGGTCGTCCCTTTTGTTGTTTTGTGCTTGGTCCATTAGTTACACTTCTTGAATATGGGCCCCCACCACCAAATCCAGTATTAAAATTGCTAGGCCTATTATTGGAAATATTAGGCCCATTATTGAAAAAACAGCCGGTCCAGTCCCTGAATTAATTTCACCAACACCGGGCATATTTCCATATTTATTATCACCCGATCTTGGCTCAATTTTGAAAGACCCAGATTTCTTCGTTCGCAGCCCAGACATTTCCTCTTCTCCAGCATCGTCTCTTCCAACATTCAGCATCACTCGCCTTCGATTTTCCTCCTAGTGGATCTCTGAAAAACTTCCCTCGTCGACGGTAGTGGTTGCCGCCCTAGGATCCTTCATCTGATATCATCTAATTCCTGGTGAAGGCCGGCCAAAAATTCAAACACCCTTTCATTCTCCAATTTCTTCCTGTAGCATGCGTAATCAATCGAACAATCCCACTCTTCCTTTGTACTCAGGTCAAGTTCTTACCATAAAGCCACCATGTCCATATAATATTCCGTCACATCTCTGTCTCCTTGTTTGGTTTCCCACAATTTGGTTTTGATTTTGAAGACATGGGAAGAATTTTCGAAATCTAAATGTCTCTCTAACTGCGTCCCACACATCTTTTGAGGTTGGTAGGAAAATGTACGTCTTCCCAATGGAGGGCTTCATGGAGTTCACAAGCCACGCGGTGACTTGAGAGTTTTCTAACTTCCATCGCTGTAAACGTACAACATTAGTCGTGGGGGGCTGCTTCGTATCACCAGTTAGGTATCCTAATTTACCTTTTCCATTGATTACAAGTTTAATTTACTGAACCCATTGTCTGAAATTCTTCTTTTTTTTTTTTTAATTTTTCTATGGTGAGTTAGAAGGATGAATTGTCAATTCCCCCCAAACCCGTTGTGTGAATGGCTTCGATTTCACCATCGTGAGATTCGAAAGTCATTGACTCCTTACTGATGTCGACGATGTCAGTCATCGGCTTTTACACGGCTTGCTCTGATACATGTGAATTTAGAGAAATTCTTTATTCTCTTTTTATTGAATAATTACATTCTAACTACATCCTTTTATAGTATACGTATAAAGTTTAAACAAGGAAAGACAATATCCCTAAATCAATCCAAAAATCTCCTAAAATTTTCCTAATTACAAGAATTATAATTTTCCTAAATTGAAACTGCTAATAAGGAAAGTTGGAATATTCTGCATAATCGGGATTTCAACATGTATCTTTCTAGGTAATGCTCTCATTTATTGGAAATGTAAGAAATGGGATTGTGTTTCTAAGTCTTCTACTAGGGCTGAGTACTAAGCTATGTCTGCCGTATGTTCTGAGATTGTACGATTGTGCGATCTTCTAGCTGAACTTGGTGTTTCCCACTCACAGCCTACACCTTTCCATGGTGACAACACTAGTGCTATTTAGATTACGGCTAATCCGGTGTTCTATGAACACACCAAACATATTGAAGTGGATTGTCAATATATCTGAGACGCATATAATTCCAAAGTCATCGCTTTCCCTCGCATTTCCACTACTCAATAGGTCGTGGATACTACATATCTTCACTAAATTCTTGACTTGCCTTCATCATAATTTTCTCTTCAGCAAATTAATGCTTGCAGACACATCAGCATCAATTTGAGGGGGTATTAGAATAGGGAAATGCTTGGGAAACAGGGGGTTGACCGCCTCTTGACAGAAAAACCCCACAATAGGTGGGGGGGGGGGGGGCCCCTATTTTC